GGCCAGAGGCCCTGTTCCTCCCCCACGCTATGTAAGAACCCCTTCATTCCCACATTCATACGAGACCAGCTCTCCTGAACCATGCTGCCTGGCGCAGGCAGAGGCTGCCCACGGGCCCTGGGGTCTCTAAGCACGTCTGTGAGCAGCAGCTACCCCCCAAATCCCAAAAAGGTGGTGACGCCCAGCCCAAGAGTCACACGGGCACCAGAGTCCAAAGGCTCTCATGTACCTCTCACGTTCCATCTGTCTTGTGGCTGCCACACTGGCTCACGTCTTCCCAGGGTGGGCACAGCCCACCAGCCACTCTAGCCCAGCCACTGGGGACAAGGACACTGAGGCTGGTCCCTGCAGAAGCCCTGACAGTGAACATGTGGCTCTTCAGAGAACTGGGAGGGATGGGGAGGAACACTGGCAGATTGAATTGTAATCAGGGATGTCATCTCTAAGCACCTGGGGACAGCTTCTCCCTCGGAGGCTGGGGGTGGGGTGGGGTGGGCTCACTCTTGCAGGAACATGAGAAAAGAGAGAGGGAAGCGAGGGGGAGGAGGGAGGCAGGCACCTCTGGGGGAGAGGAAAGGGAGAGGATGGACACTGCTGGTCCATGGGTCTTGTGGCAAACGGGACCCTGCTCCAGCCACCTCTGTCCTTGGAGTTCTCAAGTCAGATCTGTCTTGCATTCTTTCCCTCCATGTCCAAGGGTCCTCAGAGGAGAAGACTCCAAGGAAAAGTCTTTAAATGGATGGCCCCTCCCCGGCCCTGGGGAACATATTAGAGTTCTGAAGCGGTGGCCGTAATGGGACAGGTGATCCAGGGAAGGCAGGAGACATATGGGGCAGGCCGGGCCTCTAATGCCAACCATGCATCACAGCAGGGCTGGGGAGCCACGAGCCACTTCTCACAAGCACACAGGACAGGGACCGAGAGGAGGAGGGAGAGGAGGGGCATCTCGTCTCAGCGCCTTTGTTCTCCTCTGCACACCTGACAGCCTGTAATTATTTCATTTCTTCGTTTGTTCGCGGGCGCTCTGCCTGTCCCTTGCACTTGAACACCAGCTCCATGAGGGCATGCCTGCAACCTCCCGGGTCGGGTTCTGAGCCGGCTCAGACACACCTCCACAAACACTTGCTGCAGGTGTGAGTTGGTGCCCGGGYGGAGGGGAGGGTGGGTGAAGGGACTGGTGAGAGGGGCTGTCCAGGGCAAAGCCTCAGCCTGCACCCAAGTCTGTCTGGGAGAGGAAGCCTGGTACCCGAGGGTTCTCCAAGCCCCACCTAGGCCCAGGCCACAGCCAAAGCATCCCCTTGATGGGGCTCCTCTCCACGCCAGCTTAGCCTCAACTCAGAGCTCCCCAGCCTCAGCCATTACCTGTTTTCTAGATGCAAGACTGGCTGTGGCACGTGCCAGGCCTGTGCTAGGGAAGGGAGGTGAGTCTTGAGGGAACCAGCCTGACCCTGACCCTTAAGTCCTCTGCCCCAAGAGTGACCAAGGGCTGCCTCCACCTTTCCCACGGCTCTGGATTCTGTTCCTGCCCCCACCTCTCCCCTCGCCCAGCCTCATCACCAGTTTCCACTGGGATCCCCTGGTACCAAGTCATTCTCTCTTCCACTGGAAACCCCGATCCTCCGACAGCTCAGATCTGATCACATTGCTTTCCAGGTTTAAAGTCGTCTTCAGCAGCTCCCCACCCTCTCTGGCATGGGCGAAGACTCGGTGAAGCAGTAAGGGACTTGTGTAATGGGGACCCTACTTCTYCTCACAGCCTGAGCCTCCGTCCCTGTAGGAGTGAAATGTGTGATCCCTGGGCCCATTTTAATGGAAAAAGTAAGACGGAATCAAGCAGTTAAGTGATGTACTCCAGACTGAGTGGTAATAAGAATATGATTAGAGTCAAAATGGAGCCTGTAGCCCAGCCACATGGGAGGTGGAGGCAGGAAGATTGCAAGTTCAAGGTTAACTTAGTGAGGTCCCATCCTAAAACCAACAAACACAAATAAACAAACAAACAAAAAAAACCCCAAATGGCTTGAATAATCTCCCTGGCACTTCACAGTGATCACCCCATTTAGTCCTCACAATGGGGACTTAGAAATCAGACTGCCCATGGTGGCCCATGCCTGCAATCCCAGCAACTCAGGAGGCTGAGGCAGGAGGATTGCAAGTTGAAGGCCAGTCTTTGCCACTTAGTGACACTGTAAGGAACTTATGTGAGACCTTGTCTCAAAATAAAATGAAWAATAATAATAATAATAAAAGGGGCCGGGGATCTGGTTCCATGGCTAAATGCCCCTGGGTTCAATTCCTGTTATCAAAACACAAGTCTGACAGCCAGGCAAACACCTGACTCCTCTGTCTTGGTTTCCGTGTCTATAAGAAGGTGCGGTGCATAATCATGGCACCTCCTTAAAGCTACCGTGAAGCTTTAGTGGGAAAATGTAGGAAAGTGCTCAGGAGAGAATGGCCAGTTCCTGAGCAGGGATGGTGCCACCGAGGGCTTTGGGACCATGGCAGGTACAGACATGGGGCTGGGTTGATGGAGGGCAGGACAGACAGGACCTCAGCCAGGAGCAKCGGCCAGCAGTCAGGCTCTGGGAGGTGCAGTGGGCCTGGGAGGGGGGACAGGCATGGGGAGGACCACCTCYGGGTAAAGCAGGAGCCCAAGATGGTACTCAGGGCCAGCCAGGTGTGTCTGGGTGGGGGGCTGTCATGGAGGGAGGAGAGTGGGGAGTGGCCTGTGGAGGGACAACCAGCTCCGGGCCAGCACCAGCGCCTCTTCTGTGGAGTGGGAAGGGCAGCAGATCCAAGGTCCACCCCTCCAAGGAATGGCACCTGCAGGACACGCCCCTGTGTGCTGGCCTTGGGAGAAGGCTCAGGAGAAGGCAAGTGTCCCTGCTGCGTCAGACACCAGTGTGATGGACGGAAAGGGTGACCAAACCCCGGGCTCTGGAGACAGGGCCCCAGGGACAGGAAGAGGAGGCCCGTGGGGCTGGGGACCAGCTGACCATACTTGCCAGCTGCAGCCCCATAAATCGCGGCTGGCCCGGGCTGGCAGTCCATTAACATGAGAGATTTTATCGCACTTTACAACCTCCCTGTCTTGTACGGCGACAGCAGGTAATTAAAACAATAATTGTTTTCTGATGTTGCTTCTGCCAAACGATAAAAGCTTCCAGTTATTTTCCTTTCACTGGGGCAGGTGGGGGAGGGGTCTGGGGGAGGGGCCTGGTTGGGGGGAGGGGCCTGGCCTGGGGCAGGGGGAGGTGGGGGTCAGGCCACAGGAGTTGGGGAGGTGCTGAAGGCGGGGAAGGGCCTTCTGTGGGGCCCGCAGAGCGGTCTGCAGGAAGGAGCTGATTCTCCCTCAACAAAGGTCTGACCACGTCCTGGCACAGACCCACGTGGGCCAGTACGCAGCAGGCACACGACACACGTGGCCCTGAGGCTCCTCCGGGGTGTCCGGCCTGGAGCTCTAGGAGCTGCTCTGGAAGGGCCCTGACTTGACAGCATCCTCAGAGGGGAGAGAGGGGGGCTCCCGCCAAGAATCGTGGCAGGAACTGAGACCCACAGGGGCCAGGCTGTCTGAGCCCTCGGGAACCCTGCATTGTGGCCCAGAGAGGAAGGTGACAGAGAGGCTGATGGAGACGGGCAGGGGACTGGAGGCTCCTGAGCACCCCAGGGGTAATGAACTCACACCCCTTGGTGCTGGGAAGTCCAGCAACCCAAAAGTGGTTTGCCTGGGAGGGGCTGGGGTCCCTCAAGTCCCAGAGGGAGCTTGACCCAGGGACACGATGCCCAGGATGGCCAGGGCTGTCCTGAGCCCACTTAGCTGTTATCTACCCTCCCTCTCATCAGTCGATCCACCCATCAATCGATCCATCTGTCTGTCCATCCATCTAGCCATCCACCCCCTCATGCATGGGCAGGGGACGTGAGCAGGCCGCAGTCCCCGCCCTCAAGAAACTTACTTGCTAAGGTAAGGGTGGGGGTGGGGGAAAGTCAACGGAGAGAAAGTCACTCCGAGGCTGATAAAGCTGTGACGAAGCTAAAGCGTAGGGTGACGGGTCCCTAGCTGACGCTGGGATCCAGAGAGTCCTCTCTGAGAAGGTGAAATTTAAGTGAGGCCTGAATGACATGGAGAAGCCGGGGAAAAGTGGGCCCTGTGTCCTGAAAAGACCCCAGGGTCTACAGTGTCCACCCCTCGCCCTGCTTTGTGCCATCTCCAGCTCCATGCCCAGGGAAGCCCCGGGGGCACTGGTGGGCTTGGGGCAGTGACTGCTTGCACTGTCGCCCACAAGTGACATCATACCTGGGGGCTCCCTCACCCCTGCTCCTTCTGCCCCCAGTTCTGCAGCAAATCACTCTGATGCTTTAAAACAAATACTTCTTAATCACTAAAAATTGAAATGATTTCATGTGAAAATGTTAATGTATTCGGAATCACAGCCGCGCACTGCGTCTGACAAATTAGCACCCAGCCGGCCGCATTGTTTGTAGCTACATTTATCCTGGTGACGAGACGCACACACAAAACGGAGCAGAGGGGCGGGGAGGGCAGCTCCTGGCTGGGGGGTGGGTATGGGTGCAGGAGGTGGGAGGGGGAGCGTCCAGGGGCAGAGGGGAGCAGGGGCCTGAGGGGGTGGACAGGCCCAGACCTTCTCTGACAGCCATCCCTGACCCACTGCCGGCTGCAGGGCCACTGCTCCCCCGGGCCTTGTCCTGCCCTTTGATGCCCATCCTGRACCACCAGACCTACGCCAGGCAGGGCTGGGTGGCCTCACAGAGAGCCACCCACAGACCCAGGTCCCAGAAAAGGACAGGCACCAGGAGATGAGAAGAAACTATTTCTGCAAGAATGTAATATCTCAAAGATGAGCATTGGGCCAGGTGAGGTGGCGCCTGTCTGTAACCCCAGCTCCTCGGGAGGCAGAGGCAGGAGGACGGCGAGTTCCAGGTCAGCCTGGGCGACTCAATGAGAGCCTGTCCCAAAATAAAAAATTAAAAGGGGGAGGGTCCTTTTTGGCTCATAAGCGAGATGATTGAGTGCTCCTGCCATTATGTGAGACAGGCCTCTCTCCAAACCTTGTGACCACATTGGCATGTCACTCATCTCATGTGGAAAAAAAGTTTTTTTTTTTTTTTTTTTTTTAAAAAAGGCTGTGGCTATAGCTCAGTGGTGAGGGCTTGCCTAGAATATGTGAAGCCCTGGGTTCAATGTCAAAAAAGGGAAAAATAAGCATCAGGCTGTGAGAACCCTCACACACGGCTGGTGGGAATATAAAATGATGCAGTTGCTCAGGAAAACAGGTTGGCAGTTCCTCAATATGTTCAATGTAGAATTACCGTATGACCCACCAATTCCTCTCCAGGTTAATAGTCAAGAGAATGAAAACAGGAATTTAACAAATACTTGAATGCCAATACTGAAAGTGGCATTATTCACAATAGCCAAAAGATGAAAACAACTCAAATGTCCACGAGTGGATGAATAGATAAACAAAATGTGGTACATCCATACAAGGGGATATTATTCAGCCATGAAAAATAATGAAGTGCTGATTCATGGGGCCACTCGGATGAACCTTCAACACATTATGCTAAGTGAAAGAAGCCAGACACAGTAGGCCACAAATGGTGTGACTCTATTTACAAGGACATAACAAGCAAGTGTGTAGAGATGGAGAGCAGGGTGGAGTTTGCCAGAGGCTAGGAAGAGGGAGGAATGGGAAACGTCTGTCCAATGAGGGTCTCCTTTGGGGCTGATGAAAATGTTTTGGAATCACATAGGGGCAATGGCTGCACTCTGTGGAGGAGCTAAATGACACTCAATGTGCATTTTGCAATGGTTTATTACCTCAATTAAAAACACATATTACTATAAAATACATGTGCATCAAAGTCCTGCTTCATTGGGTCTCTTTAGGGCCATCTTATAAGTCAGCAGGTGACACTGGAGACAGTGAGGGTTGGTGGGCACCCAGACTTTACTGGGTAGTGCTCAGGTCTCCAGGAGTGGAAGTGGCCTGCCTGGGGCCTCAGGATCCATGACAGTCCYGGCCTGGCCTTCCCATCTCATAAATGAGGCCAGGACTGTGTCTGGCCCTGCGCTCATGCTGCGGACACAGAGCAGGTCCAGGGTCAGGCCTCCTGATGTTCTCCAGCCAGTTAGGTGCATCAGATGTGCCCGCAGGGGGATTTCAGCCACGCGCCCCTCCACTGTGCCTTTCTAGAAGAACCAATGACCACAGACAGATGCAAGTCATTAGGTTTTCTCTTCACCTGACTCCCCAGTTCCCTGGGCTGCACCCACAGCTGGCTCCTTCTTGTCATTCTGGTCTCAGATCAAATGTCACCTCCTCAGAGAAGCCTTCCCTGACCATCCTGTCTCACTTGCTACCCATGCGTCCTCATGTCCGGCAACCTGTGCTCACACAGCCCTCTTGGCCTTCCAGCTACTGAGCAGCACCCCACATGATCTTAACCTACCTGCTTGGTTAAAATCATCTCAGAAAGTGGGTTCTGTTAGGGAGGGGACAGTGTCCAACTTGCTCAGTGAACTACTGCGGTGCTTAATATGGTGTCTGGCACACAATAAGCGCTCGATAAGTGCTTGTTTAACTGCTGATGTGTACCGTCTTCACCCAGCCTTGGCCCCCAGTCTGTCCTCTCTGCATCTCTCGAAAGCTCCCTGGGTCCTGGGCCTTTTGCCCATTCTGACTTCCACAGAGCTGGGGCTATCACYTGGCTCTGCGGTGGCAGCCAGCCATGTGACACCAGGCAAGTCACTTCTCCTCTGAGTCTACCTACAGTTTGTRTGCAAGGACCTTGTAGACTCCCAGCATTAGGATTCCTTCCCTGGCTCCCTTTTCTCAAGTTTCTCCCCTGAAGCCCTCAATGGATCCCCTTCCTTTCTGGCCCTAATATTCTTTCATTCTCTCCAAGTTCCAAATGGCCTCTGTGTCCGTGCACATGTCTCCCAGCTCACTAATGTYGCCTGCTCACCCTGCTCTGCTTCTGAGCACAGGCTCCCCAGAGGCCCCCTCTCGTCCCCCCAGCGTGGCCTTCGGGCCTCAGACGCAGGACCTTTCTCTGCAGCCTTCCCTATGGCTGCCCCCCGCATCCCCGTCATAACTTTAAATTCTTCCCCAGCTTCCCGTTTGCTCAATGGCATCCTTCTGGCTCCCTCCGAATGGCCCCTGGAATTCTCTTCTTCCGTCTTGACGGCAGCCATTCCCCAATGTCCCCCTTGGCATGGCGCTCTAGCTCACAGTGCCCATGGCCTGCTCTTTGCAATGGGTCTCACATCTCCACGTCCCACCCTGACTGCATCTCAGCATCATAGCCTTGGATTCCTGATTATCTTTTGGCTATTTCCACCTGACCATCTCCCAGCGTCTCCCACTGAACAGGAGAAACCAAAGGCCCAACACTGGCTCTCAGAGCTGCATGGGAAAGGAAGCTGCGTTTGGCCTCCAGCCGGACACTCACCAAGCCCTGCACACAGGGGAAGATGCAGCCTCAGTGTGCACAAGGGGGTGGGGTGAACAGAGCAGGGCRTGCAGGGCAGTGGGGGGTGAGTGGGAGGTACAGCATGGGACCAGGGGCTGCACAGGCAGTGGAGATGCATAGGACAAAGGGATATGCAGGACAGAGGGCACAGGGGCCGGGGAGTACATGGCCCATAGGTATGTGTGAGTGGGAGGGGTGCTCAGGGCTGGGGAGCACAGCACTGAAGGTTCATGGTACAGGGGGTTGCACGGGCAGTGGGGTGCAGAGCGGTGGGGTGTATGGGCAGTGGAGGTTCATGCCTGCCAAGGTGGTGGCCAGATTCCAGCCCACCCAGTTTCCTGGCTCACTGGGCCCAGTCCAGATCTTTTGATGTTTCAAGAGAAGCCTGAAATTTGGATTTTTATGTGAATTCCCTAGTTTTTTTTAAAGATTTTTTTAAAAATATGGACACAATATCTTTACTTTATTCATTTTTTGTGTGGTGCTGAGGATTGAACCCAGGGCCTCACAGGTGCCAGGCAAGCGCTCTGCCACTGAGCCCCAGCCCCAGCCCCTGAATTCTCCATTTTTAAGAATATCTGCTGCTTGGGGTGGAGGCCCTGTGTGCTCCGACGACCTCTGGGAGGTCCCTCTGCCCACACCGTCACCTCGTCCTCCTGAGATCCTGGCCCAGCTCTCCTCCAGGTGCGGGGCACTGAGACCTGACTCTACAGGAATACAGGACATTCTTAGATGGCGGCCAGAAGGATGCCCAGGCAGCTCCTGGATTGAGAAAGGCCCTGTCTCTGGGGATTCTGGGACATCAGGACAGTCTCCTCCTGCTCGTCCTGATCTCCTATGAATTGGCCTCACTCAGCTCCTCTGTTGGATTCTTCCACATAAGAGAGAACCAGCCTTGGCCCAYGGTCCCAGCCTGCATCTTTATCCTGCCAACTTGAGAGGCACAGGGGACAGTTCTCCCCTCCAGGCAGGAACTGCCAGGGGAGGGATCCTGACTGGCTCAGTTGCCACCACACAAGACCAACCGCTGGGTCCGGGATCTCTTCTCTGATTTRCTCAGCCTGGTCAGGCGTCTTATCCCAGGGGAGTGTGGGTCCCTCTAGGTGACAGTCCCACATCATGGTGGGAAGTCACCCAAGAGTGGAGGCGCTGTGCCCTGGGACAGGATGTTAAGTGGTCACACAGTSGGGAGCAAAAAGACTACGAACCCCACAAGATGGGGCCACCCCTCCAGAAAGACTAATTCTCAAAGAGTAGGAAACTCCTCAGGGCAATGAGGATCGGGCTAGGAATGATGACCAGGTCGTTCCAAAGCCCTCTCCTTTGCATTTCACTACAGGGTCCCACGGAGGCAGCCTGGCATCCATCCACCGTCTCCCTGAGGGGTCCCGACCAGCAGTTCCAGGGCCAGGGCTGCCCGTGCCATGGACCCTTAGGAAGGTCTTTCTCAGCTTTGTCTCTTCCCACCTGGTCCTGAGCCTACACTCAGAGATGCGCGGAGCAGAGCCAATCTCTTCCCCCTGGGCTGTAAGAGCTTCTCTCCTAGGACTTGGCTTTCAGTCGGGACTCTCTGCCACTGTGCCCTCCCGCCCAACAGCCCTCTATCCCACGCCCTTGCTCAGCTTGGCTAGACCCGCTTTCTGCTGCTTACCACCAGGTGCCCTGTCCACCTGCTAGGCACAGCCTGGTGGCGGGGCTTCTCAGGACTGTGCCCCTTTGCTCTGTCGTTTTCTCCCCCCATCCAATCCCCATCTATTTTCCGTTCCTGACATCACTTCCCCAGGCTCTGAATCATGTTTGCCTCCGCCCTCTCCTCGCCCCCCACATGCACCATCCAGATGCAGCGTGCTCTCTGGCGATGTCCCCCTCAGCTCTCTCTCTGGCTCCATCGAGCTGCCTGACTGCTGCGAAGGGAGGCCTCATCATTTCTTGCCTGGGTGACCGCAGCAGCCTCCCGGCGGGTCTCCTTGCCTCCAGCCTCTCCCTGCTCCCATCCATCCTCCATGTGCTGCCAGATTAATCTTCCTTAAACACCRTTCGCTGCCTGTCACTCCCCAGTTCAAAGATGCAGCCAGCCCTGTCACTTGCTGGCCCCCCACAGGCACCGTCTGCTCCAGCAGGCTGTCACCAGGGATTGCCCATCCCTCTGCCTCCTCCTTTCTATCCGGCCAAACCCYGCTACAAGCCAAGGCCCTCGCCTGAGTGCCCCTGTGGGGGTAGAGGTCAGGGGTGGCCAGGCACCAGTCCTGAGCCACAGGCTTGAACTCTGACCCATCTGAACTCCCCAAGGCAGCTGTGTTCCTGCCACCTCTGCTCTGACTTTCAGACTGTCACACCAGGAGTCGTACCTGGCCAAGTCACTCTGGGTGAGTTGTCCTTCACCACGTCACMCCTTCTTCTCAAGCCCCCTCACAAAGGCTCATCCCAGAATGAGCACCTTCCCAAGACACTAGCCTGGGTCCCGCCCTTGACCCTCTGCAGGTTTTGTCAACCCAGGATCCTGCTCTCCACCCACATAATTCAGGACCAGTTCTGTAGAGAGGCCCAAGGCGAGTGTGCCCACCACTGTCCCACAGCACAGGCTGCTCACACCTACACAGTTCACAC